GTATACAGACAGCAAATAAAAGATCAAATAAGGACAAAAAACTTAGAAGAAGAAGAAGATATTAACCAACTATTGGCAAATATACGAGATATTTTGTTACAGAAATCCGTTGAAATATTGGGCAAAACCAAGTCAGAAAAAAGAAATCATTGGTGTGATCATGAGTGCAAAATGGCACAAATAGAAAGAACGCATCATATCAAAAAACCATTAACGCAGGTTGTACACGGAGAAGAAATGAAGAGTATAGACTTCTAGAAGAGAGAAAAAACAACGTATCCATCGACGTAAGAAGAGGGAACAGAACACTCTCAGTGAGATACAAAGTGTATTCGATACAAATGAAATGGGGAAATACTACAAATCCTTAAATACTAGCCGTCGAGAATTTAAACCACGATTAAAAAATTGTAAAGACACTAACGGTGAAATTCTACATAATAAAAACTCAATTCTTAACAGATGGGCACACCATTTCAACGAACATCTAAATATAAACGATATTTAAGGAGGTTACAACATAGACAATCAACAAAATCTACAACGTCAACTACACAGTGAAAACCCAACAAGAGTAGAAGTGTCAAATGCGTCCCTAAAAATCAAAGACAATAAAGCCCTAGGAATCAATGAAATCTGTTCGGAAATGTATAAAAAAGGTGGTGATCAACTTTTTGCAGCAATCCATAAACTAATAGTACTTATATGGCAGAATGAATGGGTACCAGAAAAGTGGCTGAAGGGAATAATATGTCCATTGCATAAAAAGGGTGATCAACAACTGTAGTATAAGAACTATAGAGGCATTACTCTGTTAACATCTGCGTATAAAATCTTCGGCAATGTATTATTTAAAAGACTTAAACATTTTACAAAGAATATTGTTGATCAATATCAATGCACATTTACTGCTGGAAAGTCAACTACACATCAAATTCAAGCACATTGGCAGATCAAACATTTCTAGAAAAGTCACAAGAATATAACATAGATACACACCATCTCTTCCTTGACTTCAAAGCAGCTTATGACATTGTAAAAAGAACTGCGTTATATGATGCAATTATAGACTTTAGAATCCCACCCAAGTTAGTTAATTTGACCCAAGGGTAATTCCAGCAATAATCGACACAAGTCGGTGGGGTCACACTCTCCGATTTGGCTGAAATTTTACACACATGTTGTACTAAACAAAAAAAACATGATTATCAAATTTACAGACCTTAATATTCAAAATGGCGGCCGTGGTGCGCTATTGAAATTTCACGCTTTTTTATCAATTTTTTTTTCGTGTTTCGCCGATTTTTTCAGTACAGCGAGCTAAATAATGCTTAAACAAATATCCACTATATGTTTTCCAATGTAAAATTTCCCGTCTTATGGCTATGGCGTCAAAGATAAAACTTTAAACTATATTTGTTATACACCGATCCAGATATTATGAAATTCGTTAAAGTGCAGATACTTAGATAAGCTTTAGATGGAATGAGATGGATTGATTATGTTGAAGAAGACCTGCAGATTCTAAGGCTTATAAGATGGAGGGAAGTTGCCAGGAATCGACAGGAGTAGTGACTTCTTTGTGAGCAGGCTAATATACACAATGGATTGTCGAGCCGCTTATGATGATTTCTTAGAGAATTATGTTACATTTCTTATCACTGCTTGTATAACTCCTGTTTTATTATGATGTCGTGTTCAATATCTTCCAATAAGCTTTGGGTTGTGGTGCACCCAATGCGGCATCCAAGAGAGATCTCTTGACTTCTTGTAGCTTCGTATATATGTCGCTGCTAGCATACTCAGGCGTGTTATTTTATTAAAACAGCCGAAATAGATTGCATTTCATGTCCAAACACGTATATATATAGAATATTGGTGGCGTTTGAATTGAAAGAAAATGCAATCGTCTATTTTTATATGTACAGGGTGCAACAAAAGGATAAGTCATAAATTACTGCCATCTTTTTCTGTCGTACTTGAAGAATGGGTTTAGATTGCAGCGCGCAGTTTATAATAGGTATTATAATAAATGTCTATGGTTATTTATTAGGGTTATATTCAATGACGTATAATATATAGACTGAGCAGTCCCGTATTCTCGCTATATAATCGGGTATCCGAAAGATCTCTGCTCAAGGCTGAAGGTATGTTTACCAGAACAGCGGCGTGCTTATTTATATTTTAATGACAATAATTATTTTTTTAATTAAAATTAAATATTTATATTTTTTTTTGTTCCCGTCTATAAGAGAAAAAATTATTTTTATAAAATAGCATGGCATTTTACTAAAATAGTAAGTAAATAACTCTCAACAATTTAAAATAAAATTTGCTTGTCACATAAAATATGTAGACAAAATGGAGAAAATGTTTTCATACGTCCATGATGTTTTCAAACACAAGATCAACTTCGTGATGCTTCGTAAGAATCATGAACTTCGTGCATCTTCGTATCAAAACAATAAACAATAACAAAGGTATTCATGTTTTGGACACTTTTTAAAGCGTTCACCGAGTCTATATATTATACGTAGGGTGACCATAATTTTTCAAAAAAAAAAAAAAGTACATTTATAATTTTTAAGAAAATATGTACACTGCTAGTGCCCTAGGAAATTTTTCTGGTCAAAATTTTACGAATCTTTAATGAAATAATGATAAGAACGATTTTTTTTAATCAAACATAAGTACATAACAAATGTATGATAAATTTTAATAGTTAATTTTCTTTCGACGTTCCTTTCTGAACATCTTGATCATCATTTTGGTACCAGTCGTACTTTTTGGAACTATGAATTTCCTTCCGAAGTTGTGGTTTACTCTTTACTGAAACATTTCATTACACGTAACTTTGAAGTTTGTGTAGACTTGCATGATGGCTTCCAAAGTAGATATTTTCAACTGCGATTTGTGGATCCAATAGTTATTGATATTTGAGAACAACCGCTCAATCGAGGTACTGGTCCCGGCAGACAAAAAACAAACTCACATAGAATTTTGAGATTTTTCAAACCCTTTCTTTTTGGAAGATTTCGAGCCATCGATCTTCCGTAGAAATATTTTTCGAATTCCAGTCTGTGATTTTATTTTCTGTAACGTAGGTTCGTATTAGACTAACTTCATCAAACAGTTCGTTCTGATTCAATATCGGACCTACTTTTGAAAGCCTCACACGACGATAAAATTTCAGCCCAAGAAACTTGTTTTTTCAAGTTAACTCATCCAAATAGCCTTAGTTTACTAAAATTTTCACTCCAGTTTTTCAAATATGTTACACAATTTGAACAGAACTGCTTGACATGCGTGATAAAGATATCCCGATAGTTCACACTAAGGTCAAGGTCTTCCATATTTTCAAGTTTTGAAAGGGACTCTCTTACTTTAAGCGGCAAAAATAACTTATTTAAGCGATTTTGAAGCTTATTTATAAGTTCGAAACACTCCAAAGCGGCTTCCGTTGCGCATATTTTGTCACCTTCTACATCTAAAATCACTTTGTGGAAGAGAGACGCAATGTTATGCACAAACCACATGCATGCTTCACTGATTAGGTTTTGAAAAAACTGTTTTAGAACTGTTGGACAATTATCAATCGACAAAAATATGCTTTCAAGGGTTCGAACATTTGTATAATTGGTTCAATGGCTGGCATTAGGCTTAAAAATCTTGTTTTTAAAAACGACAACATTTTTTGTACTCGATATCAACAAAATCGCAAAACTGTTTTAATTTCTCCACTCTGACTGTAAAAATATAGAAATACTTAAAAATCTTGACCGCAATAACCTCGATGTCTATGGTTAAGACGACCGTCGCATTTTGTAAACAGTTATTAAAATGATTTTGTGTGATGACACAGTGTGATTTTATTTTCTGTAACGTAGGTTCGTATTAGACTAACTTCATCAAACAGTTCGTTCTGATTCAATATCGGACCTACTTTTGAAAGCCTCACACGACGATAAAAATTTCAGCCCAAGAAACTTGTTTTTTCAAGTTAACTCATCAAATAGCCTTAGTTTACTAAAATTTTCACTCCAGTTTTTCAAATATGTTACACAATTTGAACAGAACTGCTTGACATGCGTGATAAAGATATCCCGATAGTTCACACTAAGGTCAAGGTCTTCCATATTTTCAAGTTTTGAAAGGGACTCTCTTACTTTAAGCGGCAAAAATAACTTATTTAAGCGATTTTGAAGCTTATTTATAAGTTCGAAACACTCCAAAGCGGCTTCCGTTGCGCATATTTTGTCACCTTCTACATCTAAAATCACTTTGTGGAAGAGAGACGCAATGTTATGCACAAACCACATCCATGCTTCACTGATTAGGTTTTGAAAAAAACTGTTTTAGAACTGTTGGACAATTATCAATCGACAAAAATATGCTTTCAAGGGTTCGAACATTTGTATAATTGGTTCAATGGCTGGAATTAGGCTCAAAAATCTTGTTTTAAAAACGACAACATTTTTTGTACTCGATATCAACAAAATCGCAAAACTGTTTTAATTTCTCCACTCTGACTGTAAAAATATAGAAATACTTAAAAATCTTGACCGCAATAACCTCGATGTCTATGGGTAAGACGACCGTCGCATTTTGTAAACAGTTATTAAAAATGTGTGCCACACAACCGATTCCAATCACGGGTTTACCACGAGAAGCATTTAATTTGCTGAATAGATTATTCACTCCTTTTTTTCTCATTCCACCAAAATTTGTATTTATAGTATTAGCAGACATTCCGATGAATTTTTGTAGTAAATTATGGTGGTTCAAAACATTGACCACGTAACCTTTTAACTGCTCTGATGTTTCACCAGGTAACTCACGTAGCTGAAGTAATTCTACTTGGACACCATTTTCTCCATAAAAATGTCTTACTATTAAGGGTACAACTTTAATTTCTCTATGATTCGACGAATCGATTGTAATGCTGACGAAATTTGCTTTTCGAAGTCTTGGTTCGAGCTGCCGCAAATTTAGGTTCAAACATGCTTACAATTAGTTTTGACGTGCAGTCTAAGGATCTGAAACTTTGCAAATGCTTAATTTTATGGTAAGCAAAAGTACCTTCCTTGGCAGCAATCAACATATTTTCAGAACTTAAATTTTCTTTTTTAACAAAGGTTTGCAATTTGCTGCTCTCCGAGTTGGCATTAGTAGCCAACATGTGTTTTTTATTTGACAAATGTAGTTTGATATTACTGCGACCACTATTAGAAATATCAACATCACTTTTACAAACTTGGCAAAACACAATATGCGTTGAAACATTTGATTTTTGTTTCATAAAAGGATACTCTGCTTGCAACTCGACGTTAAAATGGCATTTTTTTCTAGGCGATGACATGATGAAATTGTTTATTTTTCCACACAACACAAAATAATATAAAAAACGATGAAAAGTGTCGGTAAAAAGTAATCAATAGTGAGCGCATCAATTCGAATCATAATTATATTTTGTTTGGACAAAAGTAGGACTTAATTTTGTGTAATTAAGAAAAAGAGTACATTTAGATGTACTTCATAAATTTTAAAGTACAATAGGACAGCGTTTGAAAAGAAAGTACTGTCCTACTAAAAAAAGTACATATGGTCACCCTAATTATACGTCATTGGTTATATTAATAACATCGAGTTAGAATTTATGGAGAGGGCATCACGTGACTAAAAACGACCTAACTTCGGCCATATTGGTATTATTGTTTTGAAACTTTTGACAGATCGTATATGTTTGGTTATATTTGTTGTTTTTTGAATATTTTCAGTTTTATAATACTTTTATAGAAACTGTAATATATTGTGATAGTGCATAGTAATGGTTTCTTGTTCTCAACATAGTTGCAGTAGCAGAAGTAATGTTAATAAAAAAATCTTCAGGAATATCGTTCCACGGGTAAAAGTGTATTTTTATGTATGAGAGAGTAATAAAACAATAAATTATGTATGCAAATCCCTAAACTGTTGATACGGGTGACTCAATGAAAAACAGATATTTGTCAACAAGTTTACAGAAGTATATAGGAAAACAATTTTAAATTGAGTATGACCACCAGGTATAAAGGTTGGAGCAGAATAGAATACAATAGTTGTGAGGGTTACTAATCCCTAAATAAGGTTGCCAGTGTCGGAGTGATTGAGGTTAACAGGTACTAATGAATTTGCAAGAAATGTAAGATGTTTATTTTATTGGTTATATATAACCAATAAAAGTTTAATAAGTACCTACCTATTTGCAAAATAAAGTTTAATTCTTTAGATACAATAAAACGTTTTATTTTATCTGAAATGAGTGCATTCCACGAAGTAAGGGTTTCAACAATCAAACATTTAATTCTTTAATTCCAGGAATCTACGACAGTAATTGACTAGATAATTACCTTCTAAACTTATTCCACAGAAAATGTGATAGTGGGTTTTTCCATTTTGTAGGAAGGTCCAAGTGGCGTATTCAAAATTCTTAACAGTTCACTAAAAGTAGGTACTTCAGTTGCAAGGTGCAGTTTATTGTGTATACTAGTGTTATGGAAAATTTGGAAGTGCCGTGTAAACGCCGAAAAATTGGTCCTTTAACAGTTAATGAAAAAACATTAATATTTAATTGTTTTAAATCATTTACAGACAAACGTTTATGTGAAAGTGTTGATGAGACCGTTGAGTTAGTTAGCAGTACACTTGGTGTTGGGAAATCTACGATTTACAGATTTATTAAAGAAGAGAAATGTGCTAGTTTTCAAATGCCACGTAATGCTCCAGGGAAACCAAAATTTCAAATAGAATATCATTTTAAAGAAGGACTTCGACGGAAAGTGCATGAATTCTTCTTTAGACAAGAATTTCCAACATTGGATAAAGTTCTTGTCTTAGTTCGAGATGATAAGGATTACCCAGAAATGAGTCGAAGTACGCTATGGAAACTTTTAAAAGAAACAGGCTTCCGCTGGAAAAAGAATTCCAGAAAGTCTATTTTATTAGAAAGAAGCGATATTGTCATATGGAGAAGACATTTTCTAAGAACCATAAAGGAAATGAGAAACCAAAAAAGAAAAATATTTTATCTTGATGAAACATGGATCAACGAGGGTCATACACCAAATAAATTTTGGCAGAATAAAACTGTTACAAGTCAAAGGCACGCTTTTGTAAATAACTTATCTACTGGTTTTAAACCCACCAGCAGGAAAGGGACGCAGGCTGATAATAGTACACATTGGCAGTTCAGACGGTTTTGCTGAAGGTGGTTTATTAACTTTTGAATCAACTCGTACCGGTGACTACCATGAAGACATGAACGCTGATGTCTTTCAAGAATGGTTCGAACAAATGATAGATCTTCTTCCTAAGAACTGTGTAATAGTAATGGATAATGCAAGTTATCACTCCAGACTTATAGAAGGACTGCCCACAACCAAGTGGTTAAAAAAAGACTTGCAGAATTGGCTGAGTTCAAAAAATATTACGTACCATCCCGGATCTATAAGAAAGGAACTTTATTCAGTTGTGTGCCCTTCATAAAGAAAAATTTAAAAAATACGAAATTGATGAAATTGCCAAAAATCGTGGAATGATACTACTTAGATCCCCACCATATCATTGTGAATTAAACCCGATTGAAACTGGTATGGGCACAGATAAAGAGTGAAGTTTCAAGAAAAAATACCACTTTTAAAATTCATGATGTTAAACAGTTGTTTTTGGAGGCCGTAAATAATGTAAAACCTGAAAACTGGGAAAAGGCAGTAAATCACACTATTAAAGAAGAGGAAAAAATGTGGAAGCTGGACAATATTACTGATAAAATGATCGAGCCAGTTATTATAAATCTTGGTTCTGAAAGTTCATCTTCTGAATCTGATTTGGATTTGTAACAAGTAGCTGTAAGTTTTATATTAATATTTTTATTCATCTATTTAACATACCTTAGACGGTTTTAAAAACTCTTTTTCTCTTTTGTAATTTTTAAAAATTAAAAAAATGTGAATTTTTTAAAACCCTTTTTAATGTAGACAGTCAGTTCTAATATAGTGTGTGATAAAAGAGGTCACTTTTGTTTACATACACATAACACTTTATAACAATGAAATAATTCATTTATTTTTTACAATTATTCAAAGTAATTTTTCAATTAATCTTGAGCACGCCCATGGAGTGGTCGAAGGTACCAGTTAAAAGTATGCTAATTACTCTCTCGTTCATAAAAATAAACTATAGTATACAAATATGTAAACAAAGTAATGGCCCGTACTTCAGAGAATAAATTAATAATATTTGACTGTATTAATTTATCTTTATGTATAATATATCGTGTTTTTAGTGTTGACCGCGGGATAAATAAATCATAGTTTATTAAAAATGTATTGCACTTTTTTAGATTATGATTAAATCTTCTAAATAACTAGTCATATTTGTATAGTAGTTTTATTATTATTGAGTCTAGCCCTGATGTCACCGCCATATTGGTATTCATCGTTAGCCACTCCTACCTATGCCGTTTTTAATACATACGTTAATATGCTCATAGCTTCTCCATAGATTCTAACTCGATGATTAATAATAATAACCTAAAAGTCAATAATACCATATAAAATTTTGTACAGCACTGTACATATTTAATTTAATAAGAGTTTTTATGACAGATTAGAGCAATTGTTTAGTATGGTAGAGTTAAATTAATTATTATTCTTTGCTTATACTCGTATTGCTTATTGTGCCGTAATATTTATACCATTTTTTCTAATTTAGCTTTCCGGGAAGATCAAGGTAACTTTTTTATTTATTAACTTTTAAGAGCACGTAATGTTGTATATAAGAAAGAAACATAATAAAAATAATCTTGGTTATTTATTTTCAGGTACGTTCCGAGTCAACGCAGAAACAAAAACCAGTCTTTTGCTGTCATAGCAGATTCCGATAATAGCAAACCACCATCGAGGAGTACGTCTCCTTCTGGTAGAGTCAGTCCATTTAGAGGTCGAGGGTTCAACGCCACCGGATCTCGTCATGCTTCTCCTATGCGATCTTCTCCACCACCACCAGAGGACGTGCGACTCAGCCCTCAAACTATGTCTCCGAGACATACGTCTAAAATTCCTCAACTTAAACGAAAAGGCAGCTCTGCTGCTTTTGGTGAAAAGGTCTTCCATCCAGACGTTCCACCGACACAGAAGAAAATTAACAAAAGGTTGAGTCAGAGTTTAACAAACGTGAATGGGGAGTCTACAAAGCAACAACAGCAGCAACAACAGCCACAACAACAGCAAAGAGGACGGCCTCCAGCTAGTCCTAGGAAATACACTGGTTATGGAAAGCAGCCGGCTTTTCAGCGACTCTCACCAATCGTTGGTGAGTAATGTTCAGATATATTACCTTACACCACTATTTATTCAACAATATTTTTTTTCAATAGTTAGTTTATAAGAAGACAAAATAATTATATTCATAATGGATTATCTTTTTAATACACTTACCCGCAAAATTAACGGAACACATTAAAATTGGGACATGTTAGATGTCTCGAATTTCCTAAACCTGTTGTCCGATTTTAGTGATTTTTTTTAGTATGTTATAGGTATATTATTTAAGAATATCGATGTAATAATAGTGTTGCTAGACAGGTCAATGTCATTTCATACCGGGTGTAACAATCCTACTGTGTTTTTTTCCTTAATGTTCGGAACACCCTGTGGAATATTCTAGCATATATAAAATATTGAAATTAAAACTTAATTATAGCCTCAGGCTTTAACATTTTTTTTTTTGATTCATTTGCTTATGTTTGATAATAAAAAAGTTAGGTACGTTAACAATTAGCCATGTTTTTCATCAATAAATCCTCATTTTCTGCTTAGTTTAAAAACAAGCCTAAAGTAGGCTATGAGAAGTTAACAATTTATTGCACACACCGGCAAATTTAAAGGAACCTGTTATTAATGCAATATTTCTTTATATTTGTATTTTATAGACTATATCTACATAGCTTTGAAAGCTCCTTGTCACAAAAAAGTCTTAAATGTCAAAATGTCAAATTAATTTGTTTATTTGTATTGTGTTTTACATTTTACAGTTATTCTGTCTGTTCATAACAAGTAGAAACTTGTATTTAATTGAGCGCAAAATAAGAAAGAGACTTAAAGAAGCCGGTCTCAAGTCATATGTGCCAATAAAAGCTCCCAGACTCCAGAGACACCATCGTTTAGCACGACTACAATTTGGTCGAGTACATCAAAATTGGAATGATAACCACTGGAGTCAAATTCTCTTTACGGACGAGAGCCGTTTCTGTGTAAATTACATCGACGGTAGAGAAAGATTGTATTAACGCCAAGGAGAACGAAATGCCCCTTTCAATTTTACTACGACCGTACCTTTTGGTGGAGGTTCAATTATGGTGTGGGCGGTATATGTTTGGGAGCAATAACAGAGTTAGTGGTGATTGATGGTGGAGCATTAACAGCAGATAAGTATATCAGAGATATTCTCCAAGACCATGTGGTACCTTTTTCACCATATATTGGCGAAAATTTTATTTTATAGTTTAAGAGTGTAAGTGTAAGATATTTCTTATTACAAGTGGGTATAAAAACGATGAATTGGCCAGCTTGTTCCCCAGACCTAAACCCGATAGAGGATATGTGGGACATGCTAGGCAGAAAACTTAGGGCACGGGTTCCTGCTATTCAAAACAGAGAAGAAGTCACAATTGCAAAAGATTGAGGAATGGGAGAGGCTGCCCAACAACTGATCGATAGCGTTATCAGAAGTATGAGATGACGAATAACTGCAGTTGTAAGGGCTCGTAGGGGAAACACACGCTATTAAAGCCAAAAAAATGCATAAAAAAACAATTTAAGTTCAAACTGTACAATAAAGTTAATGCATTTAAAATCCGTATTTTGTTGAGTCTGACATCTTTGTGTTTTATTTCTTCTTAAACAGGTTTTATATTGTACTACCATTGTAATATAAATTCAAAATACTTCACCAACATTCGTATTACGATATTATCTAAACAGTATATAGACTAGAGAGAAAATACTCAGATTTTATGGTTGTTCCTTTAAATATGCTGGTGAAAACTAAGAAGAAAATGAGCATTTATTGATGAAAAACATGGCTAGTTGTTAACGTACCTAACTTTTTTATTATCCAACACAAGCAAATGAATCAAAAAAGAAAATGTTAAAAAAACCTGAGACTATAATTGAGCTTTAATTTCAATATTTTATATATGCTAGAATATTCCACAGGGTGTTTCGAACTTTAAGGAAAAACTCAGTATGATTGTTACACCCGGTATAAAATTACGTTGACCTGTCTAGCAACAATATTATTTCATTGATATTCTTAAATAATATACCTATAACATACTAAAAAAATCACTAAAATCGGACAACAGGTTTAGGAAATTCGAGTCTTCTAACATGTCCCATTTTTAAGGTGTTCCGTTAATTTTGCCGGTGAGTGTATTTAGAACGACATATTACAACCATCTTGTCTTGCTTACAAGTATTATAGTCGTTGACTTTAACTTTAGCCAACCTACACTGTTGTAACAACCTATACTTAACACTCCTCCTCAATTTGAACTCCAATACATTACATTGGAGAAAAAATCGCTTAAATCTAAACAATCAAAAATATTCTTAAAATAATTTTACATCTGTTAAGAAACGCTTGACAAAGACCTTAGATGGCAAAATTTTTCTTTTGATGAAAGCTTTGGCAATATATCTGCAAGATCATTTCAGAACAAATATAATCAATACATATTAATTGTTTTGAAACTAAATCTTTTATATAATGCTCTTTAATGTCAATGTGCTTGGCACGTTTAGAATTTTCAAAAGACTGGCACACTGCTATTGTACTCAAATTATCAATTAAAAGTTTTGATTGATCCCGTACAATAAAATCAGATGAAATACCTTTTAAGTAAATCAGTTCTTAAGCTGAGGTAGCCGCAGATACGTATTGAGCTTCTACAGTTGAAAGAGTAACACAGTTTTGTTTCTAGGACGACCATGAAACTACATTTGAGTGCAAAAAAGTCAACTCAAAATTATTTTGCGAAACTACGTCTCCTGTTTCAATCAAAAAAGGTGTAAATAGAAAAATATTTAGTGTTTAATTATTAACCTCATTATTAAGTTTGAAAAAAGTTTTGATTTTTGGTAAATCGGGTGACGTATTACAAATAAATAATGCAACACGTAGAGAGGTGGTCATAATTTGACCCATTGAAATCGACACGCACCCACTTAACACATTTGGTTAACATCGTAAGCATCAATTTCCATAGCAACCCACTAATACATCAGTCAATTAAGTTCGCAACTTCATAACAAATGGATACCACATCCGTCAAAGCAGCTCAAGCAGAAGCATTATTGAGAGAAGGCCTGAGCCAGAGAGCCTGGAAAATCGACTAAATTTAAGCCAATTTGCTGTGCCCCGAGTGTATCGTCGGTACCAAGATACTGCTGATTATGTCCGCCGACAAGAAGGAGGTCGTAAACAAATAACAACAGAGAGAGATGATCGATTTCGTGTATCTAAATCTCTGAGAAATCGACATTTGACTGGTGCTAATTTCAAAGAAAAGCTTAGAGAGGTCCGAGTTGTGGTTACCAGCGTTTGGATAGTCAGAAAAAGACTGAAAGCAGCCAACCTGGCACCAAAAAGGGCGGCTACCGGTCCCAAACAAATTGCAGCCCAGAAACAAAGGCGACTAGAATTTGCTCGCGAACATC